AACCACAGTGGAATCATTGACCGTGGGTGGCAGTCTGACCTGGTCAGAAGTATTTTACAAAGTCAGTGCTGGGAAACACCCTGAACTGACTGTGTGTAAAACAAGGAAGACATGGAAATGGCGGTCCTAGTTGCGGGAGCCCACACAGGTTTCCTAGTGAGATCTGAGCTTGCTTTACCCAGCAGGGACGCATTTGGGGATGGCTTGATCATGTGTGCAAGGTCACCAGGTGTCTGGGATGGTCTGCACTTGGCTGTGCTGGGGGGAGGTCTTTTGCTCCACCCCTTGGCATTCCTTTAAAAGTCCTTTAGTAGGGGCAGAAGGGGCTGGTGGGTTTGGACCCAGGTCCTCCCGAGGCTATCCTGTGTTTTCTGTCTGTCTCTCTCCTCTATATTTCTATCTACATAATCCTCATTTCTCCCTGCTCAAGTGTAGAGGGAGCTGGTCTCCCTCACCTGACCTACAGCACAGCCTGCACTACAGATGGCCTCGGGAGAAAAGGGGCGCTGCAACCGCACCTGAATTGATAGATAGGGCCTATTTGATCGTCCCAAACTGCAGGTAGGACCTTGAGGTTCAAGGCGATGGAGGTAGGGAACAAAGGGTAGGAGAGTGCAAGCTCTGCCTGACAAATCAGGACCGCGAATGCTCATCTCCAGAGTCAAAAGCAAAGCTAAATGAATGGCAGGCAGTAGGACGAAAATGACTGTCCACTCACCAATTTAAGGTGAGTCCAGAGGACAAGTTCATTGTACCTTCCTGCACAGGCAGTGTCTCCTGATGGCTCCTTAACTCCCACTAGGGGCTCCCCCCGCAAAATATGCACTATGTATTCACCAACATTTCAGTCGTGCATATTCATTTGCATGCAGGCTTGTATGAGAAGTCTTTAAAGGCAGTCGCCTAAGCAGGGGAAGGTACTACCACACAGGTCCCTCAAGCGCTCAGCATGCTTCGGATTGGTGCTCTCATTACTAATGTGCACAAATGATCAAAGCCATATTAGTAATTATTTACCGGAATGGTCATCTACTTAGCAAGAGTGAAGAAAGGAAGACCAAAGCATAGCACAGCCCAAGTGTTGGGCATCGGAATGAATCCCTCTGACCCCATCCAAAACAAGTTTTTAGAGATGCTGCCCTCAAAAATCAGCCATCAATCAGTCAATCAATAAAAGCAAAACAACAGCAAAAAGAGAAGAGCAGAGGGCCTGGCCGATGAATCAATTTCCACGTGAAAGAACTGACTCACAACAAGGAATCCGAGTTGATGAGTCTCTGTCATATCTCATCGTACCTCGTCCCTAATAACAACATGGTGTAGTTATTCATGCTGCTATCGATTCCACAGCTTCTCTTTGCTCTAATTATGGCTTCCTCCTGCGTTCTCTAAGAGGCTCTGAGAGGCTCCCACTGCTATGACTCACAGGCCTCCCAAAGCCTCCTTACACAAGTAAGAACGACTGATAAATTCATGTTGTGGAAAAGGGTAGCTGTGTTTGTCTCGTCTTTCCTTCTAGAATTGAAAGTCCCTGACAGGAGCTAGCTGACAGGCCTGCTCACATAGCTCAGTGCCTGACGAAACAACGTTGGACAGACTTTGCTGTGCACCTAACATACAGTAATGCACATTCTGCTGTCTACAAAGATGATGTTGCAGTTCTCTGTCACCAGGATAAATACTTTGAATTATATTCTAGATAATGGTGGTTCTAGGTAAGGACTCCTGTAGACATAGCCAACCCATAATTCTTCCTCCGGAGCCCGTCCTACAAGTTCTGTCAACATCTCCTAGGGGACGGTCAGCTGCCTATGAAATGAAGGTAAACAGCACTGGCCAAAAGAGGACCAAGGGCATGTCCCTAGCACCAACAGAATGATGTTGTCTCCAACTCATGGGCCCCCCCAACATGTGACAAAAATACCAGTTATCTTTTATTATTTTTATTACAATTTATTTATGTGGTTGTTGTTGTTGGTGGTGTTTGTGGTGGTGTTTGTATGTGTGTGTGTATGCATATGTGTATGAATGTGTGTACATGTATGTGCCACAATACATGGATGAAGGTAAGGGGACATTTTTTTTTTTTTGGTTTTTCGAGACAGGGTTTCTCTGTGTAGCTTTGCACCTTTCCTGGATCTTGCTCTGTAGACCAGGCTGGCCTAGAACTCACAAAGATCCGCCTGGCTCTGCCTCCCAAGTGCTGGGATTAAAGGCGTGTGCCACCACGGTAAAGGGACATCTTTGTAAGGCTGGCCCTCTCCTTCCACATGTGGATCCTTAAGATCCAACTCAGGCCCTCAGGCAAGTGTCCTTATCCGCTGAGGCACCTCAGGGGGCTGCCAGCCGCCTGTGGACAGAGCGGACTAGACCTCTACTCTACACCATTGTTATCCGCCATCCCTGCCCAGGAGGCTGAACCCCCATCACAGACCCAGACCCCCAGAAGCCTCATTTTCACATTAAGTAATACTTTGGTTTGGGAAAAAAAAAAAAACCTGCTGAAGAGTGGTCAAGATGATTTTTTAATTTTTAATTTTTATTTTTTGCTTATATCATTAAGAAAAATTTAAGATTCTGTTTTCACATATTTTAAATTTGAGATTTTTTCCAATATAATTTTAATCACAAAGGCGATGATAGTTGCTGCATTTTGGAATTATTTAAAATTCCATTTAAGACATATCTTTTAAATGTATCTAGTGAACTCTAATTAAGAACCACAGCAACCTGAAAACTACTTTAATCCACCAAAAACACGAGAACAAACCCAGCTTTAACAATAAGAAAAACTGCATTGTTCTCTTTCTCTCCTTGAACTCTCATTTCTATCTACTCCCCCCCCCCTGCAGAATTTTTTTCTAAATATAATATGACTTAATGCTTGAAAGGCTTTTATGAATCTCCATATTATGCTTTTTGTAACAAAGTATACATAAAATGATGTTTTTAAAAACGTCCTGGGACTGCAGAGCTTAAAAGTGTTCGATTTCCTTTCACTTTGAGCTATCATTACTAATGCACACAATTGATCCAAAGAACATTAACAATTATTTATAAGAATGCTAATATGTTAACAGGGAAAGAGCAGTTTCATTGGAAATACATTTCTAACGAAACGGATAGGATTTGTTGATTCCTTCAATGAGTCCATTTATCTATGGATGGGTATTTACCTACTGTTTATGATAAAGCCTGGCTTAGCATCAATTCTATGTCTGTGTTATTTAGTAGATGAAACAATAAGAAACCTTGCCTGTTTATGTCTACATGAAATGAAGGGGACTTAGCAAAAGATATTTTCATCTATCATCTTATAGCTGGATTAGGTCTCCTTCAAGTTTGCTGAAAACCATGACGTCAAATTACTCAAGTTGTGCAATGTTTCCTGTTCTTATCATCATTTCCTGTACCGAAGGACCTGGTATCGTCACAGTTCTTTGTGTTGGGATGATGGCTTCCCAATCCACCAGAGCAGACCCAGGATGGCAACAGCTTTGCCCTTTTCCTTTGTCAAGTAGGAGAGTGGCCATGAAAGGTGAGATGGAAAAGCTAGTGTGGCAAAGTCAGTATTGAGCAAATCAGTTTCCAGAAAGGGTCCACACGGGGGTTGTGAAGCAGGAGAAGACCTCTCCGAACTAGCATGTCTTTGTAGTTCTTACAAGGCCTTCTGGGACAGCTCTCTGCTAGTCATGTGTGTTGCTGTCATTCTGTCTATTTGCAAATTTTATACAACTTCAATTAACATGGGAGTCCCTACAACATGTCAGTCTGGAGCAGATACGATAGCAGAAGTAATGCATTGCTTTAAAGACAGAAGCATAATTCTTGTTCTATCTACTTAATGGAAATTCCTAGTAAATCACTGTGACATGACAATGTAGAAAACACACTCTACAAATGATTGTAAGTTCAGTATTTCTCATAGTATCACAGGGAAACCCAGAAATAGTCAAGTGTTTTCATAATAGAAAAACTGCTAAATAAATTAAGTTACAGCTGTGTGATTAAAAATGCAGTATTTTAATTTGAAGGAAACATTGGTTTAGGAAACATTCCATATAGTAGGAAGTAAAAAACAAGCAGAAAACTAAGTTGTAAGAAAAGTGTCAATTCGTTTGTATGTTCTACATGTATGTGCAAAAGATTTAAGAAAAATCTATCAAACTGGCTTTAGTCATTATCCTTATGTGTATGATTATGAACAATACTCTTTTTTTATTCTTTCTTCCTTTCCCTATTTTCTACACAGGACATGCATTTCTCTCACAATGAGAAAGAAGAAAAACTGTACATGGAAAGGCCAGGAAGGCGTAGAAATAGGTTCATGTCTTAGAGCTGCTGCAAGTGACTTCAGATTCCCATCAGCAAGATGGCGTCCTGCCTGGGCTGGGAGGCACTTAGACGCACCCAGGCTGCGACTGACTGCATTTCCCAGAGAATGAACTGCTCTCTGTGCTTCCCTGGAAGGCTCTGTTCCCAGTCCACTCTCGGCATTAGCTCTGCCCATTTCTGCCCTTGCCCACGTTCATCCTTCTGCTCACTGACTTTCCTGGAATCCCTAATTTCATTCACCGCCTCACTCCACACCCAGATGGAAATGGACCAGGTCCCCATGAAATATCCCACTTTGTGTGCACAAAACAAACCAACAGCACAAGATGAAAATTATTCAGCACACGAAATACTGTAAATCAGTGGTTCTCAACCTTGTTATTGCTATGATGACCCTTTAATACAGTTCCTCATGTTTGGTAATCCCCAACCATAAAATTATTTTTGGTGGTTCCTCAAAACTGTAATTTTGCCACTTTTATGAATTGTAAAGTATATATCTGTGTTTTCCGATGGTCTAGGTGACCTCTGTGAAAGAGTTGTTTGACCCATGGGGTCGTGACCCATAGGTTGAGAACTGCTGCCATAAACCAAGGCAATTTGGCCTTTAGGAAAACATGGAAGGCAAGTTTTGTTCCTGACACATTACAGTTGCTATCTCTTACCTCAGCAAGTGGGGAGGGATCTTCACAATGGTGTCCAGGCCACTCAGGGTTTCTGTAAAAGAAGATTGTAGAGTTACAAGTAAATATTCAAAGACTGCGATTAATACCTAAATTCTCAAATCTCCATACTCGCTGAACTCACTGGTGGCTGTGTTCCCCCTTAGAAAATAGAAACTAGCCACTTCTCAGTCATCTTTATTTTAAAATCCTTTCCCATGATGTGTCTCACTTTATTATTGGAAAAGAGAAGGTTAAAAATCAGACCGCATTTTTCCACAAGTGACAGGAATGACTAGCTGAATCCCTAACCTTAGCCAGAATGCCAACTCAATGTACCTACTACCATTGACCAAGATGCTACATTCTCCCAATCAGAAAATAAAAGCCATTTGGTTGAAACATTTTAGTCTCTCAATAAATGAATTCATACCAGCAAAGACTTTTAAGTTCACAAGGCACCTTACAGGACATGTGGTAATTTATTTAGTAGCTTTCCTATTATTGAAACACATGGCCCTTTCTGGGTCTTCCTTTGATATTATGAGACATACGGGACTTGCATTTGTTTGTAGAGTGTGCTTTCTACGTTATCAGGACATGGTGACTTATTGGGAATTTTTGTTCAAGTAGACAGAACAAGAATTATGTTTTTGTCTTTAAAACAAATCCATTTCTTCTTCTACCATACCTGCTCCAGACTTACATGTTGTCGGGACGCCTGCGTTAATCGCACACATTTGTGACATGGTGGATTGAACCACCCATTTAACCACATGACAGGTAAGGGCTGTGATGAGGAGGCTCACCCTCAGATCTCATTAATCAAGCCTAACGCTTGGCACTTGGCCACTGTTTGTGGATAAATCATACTACCGCCGACTCTAACCGTACTGACGATAAAGAGCTAATTATCATGCCCCTGCTCCAAACCGTTTTACTTCAGTTGCTCCGACTTGTCTCCAGGTGATCGGCTCCACCACTTAGAGTTCCGCTAGCTTGGTCAACTTGAACTACTCCCCTTGGGAAAGGACAGACAGCCCCTCCACCCCGCTAAGAGATCAGAGAGAACAAGAAACCAGAGATGTCCCTGAGACTCGGGACTAACAGGACACAGCAGGACAGAATCAGGCCTGTTGGAGACAATGGAGCAAAAATAGTGGATTTGAGAAAGATGACTCATCAGCAAAACCAGAAAGTCGAGCTGAGCAGGGTCAGTGGTGCCTAGGCCATGAGGCCCTGCTCTGCGATGAGGCCGGAGGATGGAGGTCAGAGCCCAGGATGGGACAGGGTGACAAGAAAATGAAGCCATGAGATGCAGGTCCCAGAGGCAGCCCAAAGGGCCACCCAGGTTAGCAAAGGCCAGCCATTAGTGTGACAGGGAGCAGTGCTGATGGAGAGTCAATGCTGCCGGTGAAGGAGAAAAAACGACATTAGATGAACAAGTGCTCTCCAGAGTCAGGGCTGTATCTCCAGCTCAGGGCTGAATACTGCCCCATCCACAGAGGCTGAGTGAGCGGAAAGAGAGAACAGGGAAATTGCTCTGTGGGAGAGTGCTTGCCCAGCATGGAAGACTCTGGGTTCGATCCCCAGCACCACCTCTTGAGAACAAAAGGTGGAAAGAGGGAAAAGGCAGCCACACCGCTGGCTGCCATGAGCGGAGACCCCCCTCCATGGAAGTGGGACAAGGGTGGAATTCAAGTCAGTTGTCCAAAGGACAAAGCAGCCAAGGCCTGAAATATGCAGAACTGTCTTTTCCCGGGACTGCTCTGTAGGACTGGACAGAGTAGCAGAGCAGAGAGGAATAAATACCACAGAAGCACTAAGAGAGCAGAGAGAACCGCCTGCTCTCTCTGGCTCCACACTAGTTTGTGGGATGGAAGAAGTCACCCGGGTCCAGGCTGCTGTCCCCTCATCTCCAGATTTTTATTTTTATTTTTATTTTTTATTTTTTTTGTCTTTTCCTTTTTGGTCCTGGGATTGAGTGAGTCCAGGGCCTTTATCCAAGTGAGGCAAGTGTTCTGCCACTGACATACACCCAGTTTCCCCATCTGTAAAGGGAGGTGACTAACATCTGCATTCTTAGGATGAGCTAATGAGATCAGCCATTAAAAGCCTGGCCTTGGCCTTAGATGTCAGGGACAGCTCCTGTCTGCTTGATAGACTCACCGAATGTCAGGACATGTGATGGTTTGGAGACCCAGTGGTTTGGAGACCCAGGGGTGAGAATGGAGATGGTTGGAGAATTTGGAGATCATGCACTCCAGTTCCAAACTGTGGCAAAGGCCAGGAAGGAAGATGTAGGGCATTGGCTAAAGGGTGCAACAAGAGGCCCTCCCATGGATGGACATCAGGCCCTCTGTGGGAAGTGCTAAGACCGAGCATGACTGCAAGTTAGGAAAGAAGATGTTCCAAGAAGCCAGTATAATGAGCTCAAAAGACGTAAGACTTAGTTCACTGTGGTGGTGCACACCTGTAGTCCCAGCTATCGCCTCCATAGGCAGCAGGGTCCCTTAGGCCCAAGAGTTAGAGACCAATCTAGGTAGCCTAGGGAGATCGCAGCTTAAAAACATACCAGCAAAGAGACTTGATGAAGACTTAAAAGTTTAAATTAAGGCCAGTGAGATAACCCAACAGCAGGAAAAAGAAAACACACCTGCTACTAACTCTGGTGTCCTGAATTTGATTCCTGGGAGCCTACACAAAACAAATGAATAAAAATGTAATAAGAAGCCGGGCGGCGGCGGCGCACGCCTTTAATCCCAGCACTCGGGAGGCAGAGGCAGGCGGATCTCTGTGAGTTCCAGGCCAGCCTGGGCTACCAAGTGAGTTCCAGGAAAAGGCAAAAAGCTACACAGAGAAACCCTGTCTCAAAAAACCAAAAAAAAAAAAAAAAGAATTTAAAAAAAAAAAAAAGGAAAACACCCATTGGATGCCAGCCACTGCCGCTCTTCATGAGGTCACTGGTGTGACCTTCAAGGTGTTACCTTCCCTCGCCTGGTGACTGCAGCAGCCTTCCCCTTGTCCCTGCCGCTGGCTCAGCCCCTATCCTGAAGCATTAATCTAATTAATCTTTATCAATAAAAAATCGGGAGTCAGATATCGGGGTAAGAACCTGAAAGATCAGAGAAGCAGGGAGCAGCCGCCAGTCGCTTCCTACCTCTACCATTCCTCCATCCAGAAGGCTGAGATCCTCCCTCAGCCCCAACTTATTACTTCCTGTCTCCTCTCTGTCTCCGATCCTCCAAACCACTACGGTTAATTTTGGTCAGCTAGTCCCTGGCTCTACCCTCTGTCAAAACACATTCAAAATATGACACATTTCCCCCATTTTGGTCTAAATATAAAGGGAAGGTTTTAAATAACATAGTGTAACTATGTACAATAAGTACAATAACTGTATACAAATATATACAGATAAGAATTACATTAACAACGTCTAGTCTATTTGCATTTCTGACTTGTGTATAGTCTATACTTGTATTAATACAGATATGTATGTTATCTTTAAAAGTTTGTGTATTTTCAGAGCAAGGAAACCAGACACCAATAAAAACTGGATGGCCCAGGTGATCCAACATCCAGAACAGCTTCAAAGTTGCTGACTGAGATGATGCAGCCTCACAGAATACTCCAGTCAGGACTTGACCATAATCCTGAATTTTCTTAGGGTCCCCCAAAGATTACCAATGCCCCTAATCAACAGGAAGCAGTCTAGAGAACTATGTTCACGTTCCCCAAAAAAGGATTATAGATGTTTGTCTTTGTTTAGGGGGAATAGTTGCAAATTATGATTGGTCATGGTAAAAATAAATAAATAAATAAAATAAAACCAAGGGAGTTAGATTCAAAGATCTCTTTCTAAAAGAAAAAAGGGGTATAGGATATAGAAATGACAGAATAAAAAGTAGATTATTGAACCTACTTTAATCCAAAAAACAACTATTAATCTTAAATATTTTACATTGGAATGGATTTTAGTTTATTGATACAAATTTAAAGTTAATTTTGTTATACTGTATGTAATATTTCTACTTTTGTTTAAGTTATTGTGTTTATACAGCTGATTTAAAATGTAACATATAATTAAAAATACAGGTTAGTAGTCAAACTTATAGTCATATTAGGTATGTTTTCAAGGCTATACACAGATATATTTAGATAGATGGATGGTCTTCAAACACTTCAAAGACCTACAGAATATGGCATTTAATATGTTTAATAATCTAAGGCTTTTTATGACAGTGAGACATGTCTTCTCCTGGCAGCAGCAATCTACTTCAGAGAAGATGATGGGCATGGAAGAAACTCCATATGGAGTTTGTTTTCTTTATGTCAAAAGCTAACCGTGCAGGCAAAGAAACTGCCCTTGCCTCAATTGCTGACCATTATTGCCCAAACTGGACCATCAGAACACAAAAGAAAGTTCCTACCAAATTTTGCCATGACAAGGTAGGACAGTCCTTCAAAATTTCCTGCTTCTGAGAAAAGTCTGTCAGCTATCCTAGACCTATGGGCCAAAGATGGATGCCCCAATGTTATAGAAGAGCTCTGGGTTACTGTCTAGGCAGCCTAATGTCCCTGCTGTTAGGTAATATTTCATTCACCCTTTTGGGGTCTTTGACAGAGTTGAAAACTAGATAGTCATAGTTTCATAGATAAACTGAATATGAAATTTTAGGCTCACCAAGATAGGTTAGATAATTGAGTATTTTCTCTAATTTTGTCAAATACAAATGGACTGGATACTGTTATTGTAATTCTTAATAACTGTTTTGTTGTATATAATCTTACTACAATAAAGTTCCTTTTAATTAGACAAAAAGAGGGAAATGCTGTGGAATAATCCTTCTGTACACTGTGAATATGTATTGCTCTCCTTGTTTAATAAAAAGCTGACAGGCCAGTAGCCAGGCAGGAAGTTAGGCGGGAAAGCCATACTGTTAAGCTCAATCCACATGAGTTTGTTTAATGGGTAATTGGGATTTATTAAAATATAAATTGTGGAAATACATTCATGGATACAGAACTGAGTAAACAGCTGAAGTTGTTCTC